CTGAAGAGCAAATCATATGAAGAGAAGCTGAAGGAACTAGGCATGCTGAGGCACAGAAAAGGTCTACTTAAGAGGGGACGTGATAGCAGTCTTGAAATTTCTGAAGGGCTGCCATAAAGAAGTGGGAAACCACTTTTTCTTTCTTGCTGCAGAGAACAGGACATGGACCAGTAAGTTGAAGTTGCAGAAAAGTAAGTTTAGATTAGATATCAGGAAAAAACTTTTTCACTGTTAGAAACATGAGGCAGTGGAATAGATGGCTTAGGGAAGTTGTGGGCTCTCAAATTGTAGACCCTCCATCAATGGAGGTGTTCAAGAAGAAGTTGGACAGCCATTGGTCTGGGATGATCTAGGCATAGATATGCCTATGTTCTTCTATGGGTATTTACCATGTTCTGGACTTTGCTGGTTGCTGGATGGGGCTGGGAGCAACATCCTTTCCCTCCCCCTCTTTCTGCTACAAGTGTCAGGGTTTTTTTTAACCTTTCTCAAAGGCATTGTGTCTGAATTGCAGCCAAGGCTAGGGGTTTTGACTAGAGTGTACCAATGTTCCTGCTTGGACCTAAAGCCAGAGGTTTCTGGCTAGAAGGTCTTGTCTTTTCACTCAGGGTCAAGCCAATCACCATATTTGGAGTCACAAAGGAATTTTCATCCTTAGTCAGATTGGTATGGATTATGTAGGTTTTTACCTTCCTCTGTAGTGGCAAGCATGGCTATCTATCCAGGATTTCTTGAGCATCTATTGACATCATTTCACAGAAGCAGAATGTTGGCTGCCATGTTTCCCCCACTTTACTGGTGGCAGGTGTTAGGTGAGTGTTGTGTCAGGATTGATGGTAGTCTTATATAGAGTTTATATTATGGATTGTATAGGATGGTTTGGATAGGGATGATCCTGTCTCAGGCAAGGGGTTGGACTAGATGACCTCTGGAGGTTCCTTCCAGCCCTTTTTCTCTAGGATCATAGGTCTTAGAAAAGGAAGAGAAAGGTCAGTTTCTCTCCCCATTCCATACTAGTTAGTGGAACTGCACAAAAAACTTTCTAGAAACTGGCTTCCAGGATGTTTCAAATAAAGTGAAACCACCTGTGGGTGAACCTTACTGCAGGTTTCTGCTTATAGACCGCAGCTTTACCAACAGACTTAAACACTGCAACAAGTGCACTTGGGAACTCACTTAGAAAGCCAAATGATTTCCCTTAAGAATGTCTAGGCATGTAGGGGAATAAAGGTCTTTAACACTATAATAAAGCTGAGTTGAAACTTTTCTTCTTTTTTGACAATCATGATCCAGGTTAATTTGTTTAGAGTGAAGGTTGTTGCTAAAAATAAGTAAGTTTTACCCTAGTCTCCATTTTATCCATGGAAGTTAAGAAAAAGATAACACCAAAGAGAGATACTTGTACTTCATTTTTACCTCCAAAGAAATATTTCTCCCCAGTTTTAACTTGCAGAGGACTGTTGGTTCTAACTGCAGAGGCTTCTTCTCCATCAATGGTGAGCACAGCAAAATTTTCTTTAGCTAAGAACCGGACTTCATGCCACTGCCCATCATTGAGTCCAGAGCCTAGAAAGAAAAGAGAATAAGGAAAATTTTTCAGTGTGTTACTTTTTCCCTCCCACATTGCATCTGTTCCGGGTGCATCATACAAGTTTTAAACACAGCCTAGTGTAACACCAGCCTGATTCAGATTGAACATTAAAATACAATGGTCTACATCAAGGCCGTCCAACTTCTAAGAAGCTGGGAGCTTCATGCCCGATGGACCACACCAGTTGGGGATACACCAGTGGAGGTCACCTGAAGCATCCTGCAGTTTCCTGCCAGCAACACGGTGCACAGGCACTCTGGGTTGCTGACTACGCAACACTGTGGGCTACACTGCACCACCCTGTGTGCTAGGTCAGGTAATGGAAACCAAAGGAAAGAGGAGCTCAAAACTCCCAGCTGCCCCTGAAGCCAGACTGACAGGTGTAACAGCAGCCAGGTGGAAGCTGAGGGCCACCAATTGGATAACCCTGGCCTAAAGATAAATTATTATGGTACTTATCATTACCACCACCAGTATAAATATATGTTTGGAACTGCCAAATTTTTATTTGATTAAAAATGAAAGTAAAAAATTACTTAAAAGAATACATGGCATCATTCCCAATTCTAAATTTAACTGTCAAAAGAATAACCTTTTACTTTTTTGCTAGAACCAAATTAAAGTGATTTGTTTTCCATTTAATGACATCTGCAAGGCATTAGGTCTATGAATTTAAACTTACAAGTGAAGGAGAAGGAAAACTTGGGGGAGGGGAAGGGAGAACAAAATAGTTCACTGAGTAGCCTCATTCAAAAACTAGTTCTGTCAAGAGGAAAAGCTTAGACACAAAGGTTAGAGACATCAAATTCCATTTAAAAAAAAGAAAGAATGAAAAAAAAAAGCATCCACCCCAAATCTTTAAACTAACATAAGCTTACCTTCCTTGCCTGGCAGGAAAGATGCAGATGTTATATCTACATCACTCCTAACTAGGCTAAGGTCTAAGTGCTGATCTGTACAGATGTTCAGGGAAGTTAAACTGGGCAAAAATGGCTGACAGGATAAAAGTTAGTTCACCTGAGGAGGAGAACTAAGTTAGATGAGGAACAGGTTAGCCCTATGTACCAAAAGTCTGCACATGTTCAGAATTTAGCCCCAGGGCTGGAAAAGCTCAGCCACTCACCTAAGCCCCAGGACTGTACTCTTCCTCCTCCCTCCCCAAACCTGATTGGGCTATTTTTAATGACCCAACCCCCCATGGACCTGGATGGACAACCCCCTGCATGGACCTGCCAGTCTTCCCCAATCTCACCTACCCCAACCCTAGTTAGTACCTTGGGTTACTGGTGTGGCTCCTGGCACCAGTGAATGTGTGCACAAGCCACTCCTAAATTATGATCACATGGCTAAACATAAGCTGCATGATCATAGATCAGGCTTGGTGAATGTCTGCACATACCCACAGCTCGTTTCAAGCATCCAGCTGGCTTTTTTTTACATTGGTTTTACATTTTTTAACTAGGCTTTTTCTTACAGGGCTCCAATCCAAACTATCATAATAAACATTTTACAGTAAGCTGGTCAGATATCATGTCATACCAAAAGTGTGGTTGGTCTAGCATTTTGAATAGTGAGAAAATACTGATTTGTTCATGAGTTCTCATTACTGCCAATACTTCATAGCAAGCTACCAAATGAAAACCAGTTCCAAATATTTTATTTTCTACCTTGCTAATGAAACATACTGCAGCTAACAAACAACTTTTTTTCATTCACATCCCATGACCAGTTCTCATAATACATAGTTGCACAGTATGCTACCATACAACGAAAGTAACCCGTCTCCAAAATATAATGTGATACATTAGAAAAGTCAAATAATTCATAGGAATACATTAAAAATGTTTTTTTTTCCATGCACAAAGGATTTTAACTACCTTAACCTTTCATGAAGTAGACGGAATTCATAGCACAAACTAACTCCAGTAATAACTTATTGTTTTAATGAATGCTCTTTTTGTCACTTCTGTGCACTCATTTTAGCAGCAAGTCCTTGTATATCTATAAACGTGCAGGGTCACAACCTAAGGATGTTATTAAAGCACACTTGTTATTAAGAGCTGTAGCTCAAAAAGGTATGAGAAGATGAGTGACAGTAGAACTGGTGAATTAGAAAGATGATGAGAGCTAAGGGAGACCCTTTGGTTTTCCAATACATTGTCTAAAATAAGAGGGCTAATTGCTACCCTTAAACATGCTGATTTAAACTACTTGCAAACTACTATTCAACATAAATAGGGGAGACAGATATGACAATAATACATCACTTGGAAAAATTTTGTTAGTTTTGGTCAGGCACGCCATGTATGTGAAGGATCTGTCAGATTTTTTATCAGCATTATATATTTGCAAAGCATTTTTAAAAACAAAATATGCCATTTAGAGAGCAAAGATCTCTTTCATTTTATGCACAAAAAACTAATTTTACTTTAAGAACATTGATAGTTCACCCTGGGTCATGTTGATATTCTATTAAAAAAATGTAATATTCTATTAATAAAAGATCTCAAGTTTCAAAGGGAAAAAACTGAAGGGGAAAAAACTGGCTTTTTTTTTTAACCAGGCTCTAACCCAAGCTGTCATAAACATTTTTTACAATAAACAAAGTTTTTAGGTATCAAAGAACAGTTAAAATGTCCTTTTCATGATTTTGTAACTTCAGATGGCTTATAATTTAAACATACATACACGGATATTCATTACTCCCTTGAACTGAATTGTAATGACTAGAGCATAGTGGGCATTTTTTCAGAATGAAACAAGTTAAAACTGCACTGTCACAATCATGGAAAATGAAAATGGTGATAGGAACTGCATCTTATAAAGTCCACATTTATGACAGTGGATGTAAGCTGAGGTAACTCATCATCACAGAAAAAAAGAACACAATCATACAAATCAGACAAATAGCAAAACAGCAATCTTTATTTGCACGTGTTTTGGGGGCATTCAAGAGCCACAAGTATACGACCTTCCTATAATTTAATCTATTTCATCAGATCATTCTATATATTATATTCTACTTTGCTGCTCTTATTGTTTCTATAAATGACTTCACAAGATTCCTAAATAACTTTGAGAAAGGAAAAAAAAAAGGAGATGCTGCAACTAGCATACCCCACTTGCTCAATGTTAGGGAAAACTCATTTCAAATGCAAATTAACAATGTAATGACCTGCAGCCCATCAAATTTTGAATTTATTTTAAAGGGTATTACTTTAAAACTAAAACTCTGGAGATAGGCACATTGATTGAACAAAAATAAACTGATGTTTCTGTTATTATAGACACAGAGAAAGGATTGTTTAATGAATAACAAGAAAAAAATCAAAATAAAGTAGGCATTTAAGTATGTTGGGAAACTGAGAAAGGGGACATCTCCTGGAAGTACTCTTCAAAACAGAATTACAGTACCTAAAATCTCAATTTTCCTTATAATTAGTCTTGATAGATCAGACTGAATGCCAATGTACTGATCCAAGTGATGGCAATTCATGAGTAGTATTCTAAAATTTTCAACTGGTGAAAATTGATGAAACTTTTTAAAAGACAGTAGTTTTGTACCCATTAACTCAAGAAGAGACCTTGGCTTTGACCTTGATACATTACTGACATTTATTGTTCAGTTAAGAACCTATATATTTAAAATAAAATGAAAAAAAAATGGCTACCAATGCCCTCTTATTCTATCATATAGCAAACCAGAATATAATCAATTTCAGACTGTTTTTTTTTTTCAATTCCTTCCTTAATGTTTTATTACCCAAAGTTTATTGTCTTTTTTGGTCATCATTGCACATTAAGTTGATGTTCTAAAAGAATTATGTACAATGAAAAGCAGCTCTGGTCTCAAAAAGAATGTAAAAAGGTACAGGGAAGGCCTACAAAGATGATCAGGGTAAAGAGACTAAAAAGGCTAGGACTCCTACGTTAGAAAGGAGAAGGCTGAGGGGGATATATGAGTTTTGGAATACTAGGACTAGGGAACATCAACTGAAATTAGCAGGAGAGAGGTTTAACAAAGAAGAGAAAGTACTTTATATGCAATGCATAGTTAACTTGAGGAACTCGTTGCCTCCATTATAGATGAAGATAGCATAGCCTGGTTTATAAAAGAGATTATACAAATGCATGTAGGCTACACCCATTAATACCTATTAAACAGAACTGTAAGGAATATATCTTTTGATATCCCTAAATCAATTATGGCAAATCAATTATGTCAATGATGTCAGAGGGTATAGCAGGGATGGATCACTCAAGATATGCCCTGTTCATATGCTCTTCTTCTAAAGCAGGGGTAGCCAACCTCCAGCACATATGCCTCAAGGGCCCTTCGAGTACCCAGAGTTTGCAATCCCTGTGTGTGGCATGCAACAGACTGGGAAGGAAGCAGGGAAAACAGCAACCAATAGAGCAGGAACCAGAACAAAGGGCAACAGAGCAGAAAGGGGAAGGGGATCAGTGGCACTCAGGGGAGATGTGAAACTTACCTTGTTGCAAGCCTTACAAAAAAGGTTGGCCTCATTGCTCTAAAGCAGGGGTGCTCGACCCTTGGCCCACCAGCCAAAAGTGACCTGAAAAGCCATCACATCTGACCCTTGGGACTCCACACACATCAGGACATTTGCCAGTAATGGCCATTAATATAGCCACCCTGACATCTGCCAAATTCCCAAACCCCAAGCAGTAGTTGTGCCCACTTCCCTGCAGTGGAACTGGGCTATACCCACTTCCCCTTCCACTGCATGACCCCTCCCCACTGCTGGGCTGGGTTGAGGCCAGGCCATGCCCTGGCCCCCTCACCGAAGCAGGATGGGGACAAGCATGCCTCCTCCCTCCCACAGGGTCAGGTTGGGGATGGGTCAAGCCCCCTTCCCTGCAGGACCAGGTTGGGGTTGGATTAAACCCTCTTTCCCATTGAACTGGGTTGGAGCTGGGCTGCCCCTTAAACTGACTGTGTGTGGCTGGATGG